TCGGGAAAGGAGAGCCACTCCATGGTCGGTATAGCGTTGATAACGGCGGCAAAGAAAGCCATGATTCGCAAGTCTCTGCGTACGATCTTCTCGATCTTGGGATGCAGTACTTTTATTGCAACGTGACTGGAAGGCACTCTAGACGGTGTACTCTTCAGAGTCACGTCGACATTCTTCTTGATCCTTCGCGCGAGATTTGGTTCCTCCGCTTCAATCGTGTTCTCTTCTAGGGTCGCAAGATCTGGCTTCAGCTTGGCCTTGTAAACTTGTGCAATTGCACCCACTCCAAGTGGCTTCTCGTCAAATTCGTCGAATATGTCCTCGAATGCGCGGCCATCAAAAGCAGCCTCGATTGTCTGCTTCGATACCTTCAGCGAGTGGGCGGGGGCGTTCGAGTGGAGCGTAGACATGATCAGGCACATCTGTGTGGGAAAGACGTCGGTTCTCGAGGCAGCCCATTGTCCAAGCTAGAGCACTGTTAGCCACATTATCTTTCCTGTGAGAGGTATCATACTTTGATGAAAGCTGCGCCAGCCCTCTCCATGGAGGACACGAGGAACTGATACCACCACAGCGTGCCGCTGCGTTCGTCGTCTTTGTCGGCTTGCCTCTGCCCCAGCCATATCGCTGGTATCGTCACGATGACTGGCACGAATATAATGATGAGGTGGAGGAAGCGAAACCCCGTTGCTATGGGCTCTATTATATAATCTTCGATGAAGAAATATATGCCTCGCCGATACTTGGTGGAGTTCTTTATTGACCGCGGAACCTGCTCTGCCAACTCCTTCCGCGAAACTTCAAGCATGACCTCTTCGTGCGTCTTTTCTCCATTACCGGACTGCTCGTGAGCTAGACCGACGAAAGCAAGAGGACTGAGTACAGCCCCGCTGGCTGCGCCTGACCATAGTATCGTTTTGCCGCGGAACCGTGGGGTACCAAATTGCTGGCGGAAGGTGGCAGACGTGAACGGCCGTGATGAAGCTCGATTTAAGGTCGATGTCGCAGACTTCTGGAAGCTGTAGCGGAGGCAATGGCGACCAGAAAAGAGGAAAGCCCTCATGGTACGAGATAATGGGCAAACTCAGCGCCCAACATGTTGATGAGGCGCGAACACGCAAGTACCGCGGTCGTGACGTCGATCGGTCGTAGCTCGCTTCCCACGCCGACTTGTGACGCCCTGTTCCGACTCAGACCGATCAGCACGTGCAAATAACCTCAAGCATCACACAACACCCATATTCACATCGAATAGGCCTTCAGGGTTACGCAATAATAAATCATACTTGCAGATTCGCTAAAATTACAAGCTATCTCAACAACTCTCCTCCTGCACCTAAGCTGTTACGAATCCCTCGAAGCCTCGATCCAGCGAATTGCGCGTCAGTTCCTTATAGAGCGGGAATCCACCAGCGAAGTTCAGCTGCTCCCGGAATTTCCCTGGGATATTATCGCCCATATACCAACTCTTGGTCTGCGGGAACAATGTCTTGTCCGACAGCTCCGTCACCTTCTCTCTCCATTGTTTCTCGGCTTCGGGAGTTGCCTCGCAGTAGTTGATGTCCTCATCCCGCATCTTCTTGATGGCATCGACAATCCAATCTCCCTGAACCTCGACACAAGTGGGCCCGTTGGAGAACGCTGTTGGGCCTTGAGCACCATACAGGAAGAAACAGTTGCTGTAGCCATGAGTTAGCATATCCTTGTTTGAAATGATGATCAGAACTTACGGGTATCCGGCGACACTCATCCCAAGGTAGCTATAAGTACCGGCCTTCCACTTCTCCGCGAGTTCGACACCATCGACGTCCTTAAGACCCATGTTCTTCATGCCACCAGTCACAGAGTCGAAGCCAGTTGCGAGAGCAATGATGTCTACTTCGTAGAGCTTGCCGTCGGCCGTAACGATACCCTTCTCGGTGATTTCCTTGATCGGATTCTTCGCCACGTCGATGACCTTGTTCTCTGGCCGATCCAGCATCTCATAGTAGTTCTGTTCCAGGCTCGGTCGCTTGGTGCCGAAGGCATGCGGTGGCTCGAGGGGAGCAAGAATCTCACGCTTCTCCGGATCTGTTATCCTAGCACGAGTTTTCTTTGCCCAGAAGTTGTAGGCTTCTCGGTTGGCCTCGTTGTCGAAGAGCAAATCCTTGTAATTCGCCAGCCAGAACTCGAATCCACCAGCCTCGAAGAGCTTCTCGTAGAAAGCTTCACGCTCCTCAGGAGTGTCTTCCATTGTGTTCTTCTCGATGTAATCATATCCGAAGCCGGCAAAGGTATTCAGGCGATGTTTGAAGAATTCTTGGTAATCCGACTGCTTCCGCTTCTCTTGCTCTTCTTTCGAGATGGCTTGCTGTTGCATGGGCAGACAGAGGTTCGGTGTTCGCACGAATTGAAGCACCGAAGCTGCGTCCTTGGATGTCTCTTGGGCTATTTGGACTCCAGTTGAGCCTGTACCGATGACAGCGACACGTTTGCCTTTAGTGTCGACACCGCTATTGGGCCAGAACGACGAGTGATGAAGCTCTCCCTCGAACTTGTCCATGCCTGGCCAATCTGGGAAATGTCTCTTTGCGGCAAACCCGAGGGCTAGCAAGAGATATTTGGACTTCGCCGTGCGTCCATCCTCGGTTTTGGTGATCCACTTGCCTGACGGCTTATCAAATTGGGCACCAATAACGCGGGTGTTGAAAGCACAGTCCTTCTTGATGTCGAGTTTCCTCTCTACGTGGTTAAAGTAAGCTCGAAGTTCGTCAGTTCCGGGATATCGACACGACCATGTCCAGTCCTAAAAGCACATGTCAGTACTATGGTCAACGAAACGAATGTCTCCTCGAACATACCTTCCAGACCTCGGGGAGTGAGTACTCATAGACGGGAATCTGAGAGTCTACTCGGGCACCGGGGTAGCAATTCCAGTGCCAAATGCCTCCGATGTCAGAACCAGCTTCCATGATCTTGCACTTGAAGCCCAATTGGCGGAGCTTATGCATTAGATATATCCCTCCAAAACCCGCACCAACAATCAGCACATCCGTCTCAAGTTCTTTGGCATAGTTCTCAGTGGTAGGCACTGCCCCTTCGTTCGCCGATATGTCTGTCCTGTATCGTTGGCCCATTGTGTCGATAAGTTCTGTATTCTCTGTACAAGCAAGGAGGTGTATTCAGGCAGATTCGTTACCTATGGACCTGCAGGTGAGGGATGTGCCCTTCTCAAATATATACGTCAACAACCAAGACGCCCCTCTTACGATAGCTCCGCGAAGATCCCTCGGACCATGTCAACTACAGCGACCACTCGCGTGCGAATTCCACACGGATCTAAGTCTAGAGCTTGTTCAGTTGGAGCCACTTCAACAACTTGCTTGTCTCCCGTCACTACCCAGACAAATAACAAATCCGCTGGACCGGAAGACCCAACATACTGCTACATTTGTGTATGGAACAACGTCATAGCAACCTCCGATGAGGCGGAAAGGCTCCGTGGACACGCCACCACATCAGTGTGCCAGCTTGATAGCTCCCATCCGAACGTTTAGCGCCCCGCTTCCGCCATAACCATGCGGGGTACCCCGCGAACATATGATTGCGGTCTTGCCACATACGGTATACCCGATTTGCATTTCGTAGCATGTATGCACAGCTATCGCTAGTTGACTATCCCTAAAAGATCTGCTATCGAATCTCTGAAGCGCGTCCTTTGAGTATATAGCCGACTACCCCCTACGCCTCCCTGCAACATATTTGTGAAAGGATCAAAGTGTGCAGCTCAGCTATCATTCCAGACCTATCGATTGTATAATCTCGGTCGAGATGAAGTTGAAGATTCGTTCGGTCCAAGAATCCTCACGGTCACCCGAGTCGTGTCGTGCTGTCTAGATGGTGATGCTGATCAACAAGTCCGTCAAACCTAGCTCGTGTTTGATGATAGGCCAGGATCAAAGGAAATAAATCACGTTGCTCCTCTAGAGTTTGAAGCTAGCTTTTGTCCATGATCTCGGCAATGAGGACCGCGAAAGTTTACCAGATTTTTTTTGTGCTGATTGTAGCGCCCGGACGAGATCGCTGCTCAGGCCGGCTGGTCATCCCCTGCCAGCATTGGCCGAGCTCAAACGAGGTGGTGTCCTATCTTCAAGGACTCGAGATACTGAGCAATGCTTCCACCAAGTCCATAATTGTTCTGCGTTTAGCGAAAAAGTATTGGTACCTGGGATAGACATGTCACCCTCGCATTGCGGTCCTCAGATGCCTCGAAGTCATGACTACGTCGAATCATCACCTGAGACATTACATGAACGTCTGTAACTGACATTGTACAATACGGATTGAGATGTACTCGCTCAAAAAGCTACGTCCTTGATGTGAAACGACTGCAGTGAGGTGAAGTGTACGAGCCTTTGCTATGTTCGCCGCGCTTTCTCTGCATGTGCAGTGTTAGCCTTTTTATGTTGCATGTTTGCCTTGCTGCTATCCATCATGAGCCTCGTCAGCATTCTTCACTTCACTGACCCTTCACGGCGGTGATGCGACACGACTACAAGAATAGTGAAATCTCCAAATATATAAGTGTTGTACGTTCTGGTAGCTACCGATATACATATCTTGTGGCCGAGAACCTAGCCACTCCATCCCCTTGATTTCCTAGCTTGTGAGCTGGACAAGATAATGCAGAAGCTTATGGAGGCCATCTCTTAGCAACCTCATCTATAGAGAGGAACTCTGCGGATGACATAGCTACTGTATCTTAATTTGCACGGCTTTATGGTGACAAAAATAAATACAAATTATTGGACGTCATCCCAAGCAACGCAACGTAAAGTGTCGTAGAAGTTCTAGTCTTGTCAAAATTGTTCACGAACATCACTAGAGTCTGGCTGCCAGGAAACCTTTGGAACAAACTCTCGTCGCAAGTTGAGATATCGTTACTCAGTGCCTTCTGCAGGTCATTTGCACAACATCAGGACCCAAGAACTCTAGAGGAGCAAAAAAGCAAAAAGAAAGCATGCCCTCTGCCAGAATCGAACTAGCGATCTTATCATAGCATGCAATACTAGTGATACGCTTTACCACTAAGCCAAGAGGGCGAATCCGATCTATGAATCGGTTGGCGTGGTTGAATGAGGGATTCATGAATTGTTTGCAATATTTACCTGAGCAATCATATGGAGTACTTGTGATGAACGGAAAATGGCGGTCTGTGGAGGAAGTGGAGCGGCCCGCGAAGTGGATCGCCTCGCACCCAACTTTTGCCGTTCGGCCAGTGGAAATGCGCGTCGCAAATGTCGTCCGACGGATGATTGAAGTGACAGGGTCGGCGCATTGTAATTCCTTCTTTCTGCAATCAATGCGTCATCTCCCGAGAGCGCCGGAGCGCAAAGGGGCGCGTTTCGTTGGGCTACACGAGCACCTGAAGCCACCTGGGCAGGATGCAAGGCAGCAAGCGGCTACAGAATCAGCTGATGCGCACGAGCTCCTGTGTCGTACTGTACATGCAGTGATCTCGGTGCAATATGGAGATGCCGCTGCATGGGGAGCCAATGACCAGGATCAGCTTATTCACATGCCCGCGTTCAGTGCGCCAAGGCCCCAAATTAAGAAACCGGGAAAGCCCACGCTCGAGAGAGAGCCTCACCCGCGCTGGCCTTTTTCCAAACTCTCCTTCAAACACGACACTTCACGTAACGCGCCACAGGACACTCGCAGCCAGGAAACACACCTGGCCTCCATTATTGACACCCGGACATACTTACATCACATTCATGGGCTCTGCTTCTCCCTCCGCGACCGCTTCTCTCTTCTCCGCTGCCCAGCTTACTCTGGTTGGAACCGCGTATCCCTATAGCCCATCGACCGCAGGACTGAATAAGACGGACGCCTCATTCGCCTCGCTGGTTCGCCAACTAGGGGACGGAGGTCCACCTTGAAAGGTGGACGGTAAACTTGGATATTCGAAAACCCTAAGTTGAAAGTGCGCATACGCCTAAGCGCGCAGGTCTGTCGCCTGCTGATGCAGTTTGCACAGTAACAAAGCGCGACTTGATCATACCCACGTATCAACCACCGCTATCGCATCGATGGCTGTCTTCACATTCGACCATGATGACACGCATCTGCCTGTAGCAAAGGCGCAGCAGCCCATACCTGTTGCGAGCGCCGACGATGTCTTCGCAAGCGAGCGCATGGACGTCGACGTGGACGCGTCCAAAGTTCCCCTCCATGTAGGGACCCCGCCTATCAATATCGTGTCGCCAGCACCAAGACGCGCTGTCCTCCCAGTTGTGGAGGAAAAGCAGCAGGGGCCGGAGAAACTTGACTTCGACATGGTCATGAAGAAGGCACAGAAGAACAAAAAGAAGAAGAAGAAGACTCTAAAGGGCGCACCGGCGACGAGCATCACGCGTGGCTTCCATACACCCGTTACATCTGGCGGAGAGGAGTCGGACTACTCGATGGCTGCGACTCCACGCTTTGGGCCTGCTATGTCCGGGCTCCCTAGTGTCACAAGTAGTCCTTCGCTCAGGCCCATCTCTTCTATGGGAGGTATCAGCAGCCTCAAAGCGCAGCTCGAGTCCTTGAACCTGGGCCCACGAGAGGACTCCCCTTTGAAGGGTTTGTCCATGTCGCGCGTTGCATCTCAATTGTCGAGCAACACTAGCATGTCCGGCCGCAGCGACAGTGACCGCACGGAGATGGAGAGCTATGAGGTCGATCTGGTTGAAGACTTCAGCATGGATGCTACGTCAAAGAACTCGACGATGCTCACCAGTGGCATGGCCCGCAAGATGACCGCTGAGGACTTCGAGCCCTTGATGTGCCTTGGAAAAGGTAGCTACGGCACTGTCCTGCTCGTCAGGCAGCGCGCAACCGGTCGTCTCTTTGCCCAGAAGCAGTTCAAGAAGGCTTCGATCACCGTGCATAAGAAGCTGATCGAGCAGACAAAGACGGAGCGTAATATTCTGGAGAGCGTCAACAGGCATCCGTTCATCGTCAACCTGTACTATGCCTTCCAGGATCATGAGAAGCTCTACCTCATTCTCGAGTATGCTCAGGGTGGCGAACTCTTCCACCATTTGGCCGCAGAGCGTATGTTCTCGGAGGATGTTGCTGCATTCTACATGGCTGAGATGGTACTCGCTCTTGATCATCTCCACCGCACCGTCGGCGTCATCTACCGCGACTTGAAGCCCGAGAACTGTCTCCTGGACTCTGAGGGCCACCTTCTTCTGACTGACTTTGGTCTCAGCAAAGTTTCTCTGGACGAGGACAACCCCTGCCGCTCATTCCTCGGCACCGTGGAGTACATGGCTCCCGAAGTCATACAAGGTTTCGATTACGGAGCAGCTGTAGATTGGTGGTCCCTCGGCGCGCTAGGCTACGACTTGCTCACTGGTTCACCGCCCTTTACTGGTAACAACAACGCCAAGATCCAGGAAAAGATCGTCAAGTCGAAGCTCTCCCTCCCCTACTTCCTCAGCGCTGATGCCAAAGACCTCTTGACTCGCCTCCTGCGCAAAGAGCCCAAGAAGCGCCTCGGGTTCAACATGCCTAAGGACATGCAGACCATCAAGAAACATCGCTTCTTCCGCAAGATTGACTGGAAGAAACTCGAGGCGAGGGAGTTGGAGCCCCCGATCGTCCCGCTCATCACGGATCCAGAGCTTGCGGAAAACTTCGCCCAGGACTTCACCGATCTGCCACTCAGTCCAGTCTTGACGAAGAAGTTTGACGATTTGATCAGCGAGGCTCAGTCGAATCCATTCGGCGGCTTCAGCTTTGTCGCTAGCGAGAGTCTCTTGGAGGGCGGAGAGTGGGGATTTTGACTGTGGATTGGTGTCTCGCAGATTTTGAAGCTTTTTGTTTATATGCGGATGAGATTTTCAGAGTTCTGGATACGGGAGGTTGCTTATACATCAGAGTATTGGGTTTCTGTCTATAGATTGCACTTTCTTCTTAGTACATCCAAGTATACATTTTTCATTGAAAAGGAGCCATACATGCATTCGTGATGTTTAAGACAATTGAAGATGCCGCGCCGACGATGTCGAGCTTCTAAAAGAACTCACCTGTTCTTTGATCTGCATAGCTGGAGTAGCCAGTCGAGTTTCGAGAACCGTCAGAGTCAAAATCCCTGCCAGCCATGAACTTTAACGCTTTCTAAATGCCAAATCCACAACAGGCCAGTGCGCGATTCTTTTCTAGCGTTTGCGCAGGCTCTTTGTCCGACCGAAGCTAGCACCTCATCTACCCAGGAATAAAATTCTAATAAGCACCTCATTGCCACGATGGTCTCTTCTTTTCTACAAGGAATGCCAAAAAGACTTGATGCCACTAGGTCAAATGAGTTTTCTACCAAGCCATACTACCTACCTAATACCTCATTTTGAAGTCCCTAGCCCCATCATAATTCACCACCATGACTTATCCACGACTCACAGCACCGCGCTGCTAACACCCAACAACCCTTACAAACTTCACGAGAGCAAAAAAGAAGTCTGCAAAAAGCAACTGAAGTTTGCCCACTCGCGGAATCGAACCGCGGATCTTCGCATATCGTGTTATAATACGAGTGCGACGCTGTACCACTAAGCCAAGCGGGCGGTTGATTAATCCAAGCAATAGAACTTGGGAGATGGCAAAATCTTGGAAAATGCGGTATCTATAGTTAGTCGATTGCAGTGAGGCTTGCAAGTGAGTGATCCCAAGGTGAGTTAGGGATTGAAGAGGACACGTCACTCGCAGCGTGCCTGATGGTGGGGCAGGGAGGGGTTAAGTGGGTCGCAGGCGTGGATCCTGAGCTACTTCCTTGCTTACGGAGGAGTGGGGATACACGCGTGGGATTGTAGGATTCAGAACATGATAATTTGCGTGTACACCTTAATAGAGCAGAAGCTTGCTGTCTTGACTTGCAAGAACTTCGGTGTAAGTAGAGACAGTCTTTTCAATGTGATGCGTCACAAGCATTAGTGCAAGACATGGCGGCGCAACCACGATGTATTTCCTGGCAATTTCGCTCCAGACTTGTCGGCGGAGTGGCGCTCTTTTTTTCTAGAACGCAGATTTGCCTAGAATCCATGTGTAATATGATGTGTTCTCCGAAAGTATTGTATGTTTAATGAGTAGAATATTCGTTACATTCTGTGGCAGCACAGTATCATGACAAGACTTATGGGCTATTGTTGGGTCGATATAATCTGAACACGGATTGAAAAGAAGTATTGCAATGACGAACTGAGCATGAGAATGCAAGTGAAGTCGAAAGCTCTTCATATGTGAGACTATTTATACATGCAAAACTCCTAAGCCGCAGCCTTCGCGACTCCGCCAAACAAACGCAACACAGCACTGAACACATCCTTCGGTGCCTGTGGTGCCCCATCGTTGTGAAAAATCTCCTCCAGATCCTGCTGCGTAACCACAGGCTTATCGTAGTCGCTGTCAAGGACAAGATCGCCAAACGCTGTACTCGCGTCGTCTTCCTGCACCTCTTCAACCTCCTCAGCCATTTCCACCTCGATCTTCTGTACTTCAATCTCTTCAGCTTGCTCGAGTGCAGAGACGACCAATGAAGAAGCTGTTGGACTGATTGTGCGGATGTTTGACAGAGAATCCAGCGCGATGTATCCTTTCTCGCTCTCTCCCTTCCTTGCTGAAAGCGCTAAAATGACGCCCGGCACGCTTTGAGACCAAAGTGGTTCTTTGCTTGAAGTGCCATAAACAAACATCTTCGAGGTTATCTTCTTCCTCTCCTTGTCGAATTGAGGCAGCGAAACAGCAAATGTCCCATCCGCCTCGTTGACTGCGAAGTGAACGACAGCCATGCGCTCCAAGGGTTTGACTCCTGCAGCGATCATAGGTGCGCAATAGACGAGGTCATCCGTTACCAAGTCCCACACAGTAATGCTGTCTGTGATCGCCACGAGGTATCGACCAACAATACCAACGCCACATAGGGTAGTCGCATCGATTTCGACCATGGAGCGCTGGATTTTTGACCCGCTTACATCGATGAGATGAATGAGACCACGGTCCTCACTCGATGTGCCAGACATACCTGCAGCCAGGACTGAGCCATCTGGTGAGAAAG